TTTCCCTTAGTGCAACTTCACTCTGTTCTTCCGGGATTAAAAGAATTGCTAGGTTGGGATTCCAGATGATTCAGACCTACCTCATCTCCCTCTGATCAGCCCTAGTATGATTTTTTTATTTGAGATACTGTCTAAAGACTCTGCCAGCGATAGTAAGAGAGGAGAAACCAGAGAGTATGTCAGGCTATAAGAGAGTTTGAATAAAAATGTGAGAGAAGCAGGGGACGTTTCCTATGATCTGTCATTCTTTCAGCAAATGATTTCTGGACAGGTTTAGAAGTTATTTTTTACTTGCTTATTTACAAGGAGTGAAAGAAAGTTCTGCTTCTCAGAAAGGACTATGGCTCAGCTCATTTTAACTTCTAATATTTCTTTCTACATTCTTGACCAAATTTGATTAGAGCTTGTTACGATTGTCATACTAGGAGAGATGATTTTTGTCTGTCCATCTGTATTCAGAATCAGCAAAAGGAATTGCATTTAAACTGCTGAAAATAACGAAATAGAAATCAAACGTTGGGAATTCATGATCTAATGCGGAATGTTTAAGAAAGTCAAAGGCATTTGGAAACAGGCAGTTGGTTTCAGCTGGAGCTGTATACAGTATTAACTCTAGAAAGAGTTACTACAAGCCAACTATAGTAACTCATGAATTCCAGGAATGGATGTATAATTCACAGTATGAGACTATGTACTGTAATGACATTATATGCCATTATTTAAGATAATACCGCATATTAAATTCAGATTGTGAAATGAAGTTCAGTTGCTTTACTGCAATCAAAGATCTATAAATGTCCTGTTGCTGAAACTTTAGAAGGTTATGTATTAAATCTGCATATATTCTCCAAAACTCAAAGTAGACAACTTGTGCAAAAACCTCCCACTGGAAAATGAAAAATGGGAATTTACAGTAAGTACCAGTTTATGCCCCTAATTAAACACAAATGCTGTTATTGGAGTCACTGACTGTGATGGAATTAGAGCAGGGATGAATTTAGTCCAAAATGACAATTTCTTTTGGAGAAAAGAAAGATGTTTGAAAATATTGGCATTTACTTCAAGAAATCACACTGCTGACTGGTGTGCCAGGATTTGTGTCCTTTCTGCTTTTGGGAAGGGCTGAGGAAGTGTTCTGCAAAAAGGCTTGTCTTTCTCCAGTGTCTAGAGGCAAGAACAAGCCACCAAAGGCAGCAAGAGGTGATCAAGGTTTTGCTCCCTCTTACACAGCAGTAATCCAGAAATCCTAGGTTTGAGGCAGCAGAGCTGGCTTAGTGCGCATTTCAGTCTCTGGTAAGGGTGAGAAGCTTTCAGCAATCCTGAAGTTTAAAGACAGCATTATTATGCTGCATCTGTTGCTACAGGACCAGGTCAGCTCTGTTCATCTTTCATCTGCTGTTTCATTAGGTGGTCTTGTGTAGGATAGACTCCTTCGAAACCTCTTAAAGCAGCAGCAGTGATGCCTAGCTATCCTGCTGTATATCACTGTGCCTAAATGAATTGACCCAGGGGATGCCCTACCATATTCTGTACCAAGCATTTGGGTCCTGAAATTTCTCCTTTTCCCTTACAACACTAGAGTTCGGTTGTGACTGTAGGGCAAAAGAGCACTGCTGGGGAGAACCTCTTCATGACTTGCCTCTTCTTTTAGCCACAGGAAACACCTTCTACCTGAGACCTCGTTAGACTTGCTGTGCATTTGATGCCAAGAATTATTTGACTACTGGAGGTTTCACAAACAGAACGGCTCCCCTTTGCTCACTGTTTCCAGACACTTTCTCTTGACATAAAACCAGTTTCATTCTTAGGAGGGGAACATTTTTGAACAGAGCCTTTCACCTCTGGGTCACGAGCTGAAATCTGGCCCTGGTTGGTAGTGACCGAAAATCATTACCAGCTGACGGCTACTTGGTGAAATGAGCTGGTGAGTCTCATTCCAGTTCCTAATGGACACATCTCAGTAAACACAGTCACAACTGGCACTAACTGGCATTCTCAGCCGAGAGACCATGAACTGAACAGGGAAGGAAACTGAACCTTCCTCTTCATCCCCTGCCTGGGTTTTTGAAGCATTATGGACAAGCATTTTATACCACCATCGTTTCACAGGCTGGTTTTACTCTAAATGGCTTTTTGAAACTTTGCAATTTTCATGCAGCATGATTCAGCACAGCCTGATCGGCCATCTCAGTATAATTACGCTCATCTTATGGTTCCCCTCAGTAGAAGCTGAGCTATCTGATGCCACCTCCCAGTACGAATGGCGAATCTGATGTCATATCTCAGTATGAATGGAACCGTCTGATGTCACCTCAGTGCTAACAGGACGTTTTATAATATGTCATCTGAGGCTGCAGGGGAAATCTAATCCATTCACTATGCTACACTACAATAGAACATAACACTGTATAATGTGTAGGTTAACTTAGACACCCTCAGGCAGATTTTGGATAGACGGATGGATGGATGGATGGATAGATACATTTATACAAAGTATACATACATTATATCACTCTATTGATTTTTAAAAAGTTCCAGGTCTGCCTGGCTATAATGAGATTTTTGAACTTTGTGTTGCGATCAATGAGGGGAATATTATTGGCCTGGAGAATTGATATACCCGTTCTCTGTGGCTTGTTCTGCTCCTGGACTGCCCCTGCCCCCAAGGTGTACGATTCCATCAGACACTTAACCTCTTTTACAGTGTCATCAGGCTAAAAGGAATCTAATAGTGACACGGGACTTGTGCTCAGCACTCTGGCACTATTGCTTTCCTGTCACAAATAATTTATAGCTTTCTATTTCCATCCCTTTGCCTGCACCCCATCCCCTCTTTCTGTTTCTCTGGGCTGGGGGAAATCAATAAACTCACACAACCAGAGTGGCACTTCAGGGGGTTTTAGGGGGAATGTGAGAGAAGAGAAAAGAAAAGAAAAAAACAGAAAAGAAGAAAAAAGTTATATTATTTGCCCTAGCACAGACTTCTCAGATCACCACCTCAGCTAGTGCAAATCAGCATGACCTCAGCGTCTGGCCCTGAGGCCCTCAGACACCTTCTGTATAGGTCCTCAGCAGCTATAGATTAGGGCCCCTAGTACCACTGACCTATATGGGGTGAGGATCTGGATCTCCATCCCCAGCTAGAACCTTGACATTCCCTGTCTCCAGCTATGTCCCAGGCAGCCTCTCTGCCGCTCCAGCTACTGCCCAGGCTTCATCATGTGTGTGTCAGAGTTTCCCAACATGCTGAGGTGATATGCTCTGAAATACTTTTCTTTTCCTATAAAGGTTTCACTCTCAGGAGTTGTGCTTTTTCAAAAATGCCCTCTCAACATCTCTGCCTATCTCTATCCATGCCGTACCGCCCACTACACACACATTTGCTCTTTGAAGTTTTGCCAACTTACTCTTTAGAACGAATCTTTAAGGGAAGCTCTGGGGTGGGCAGGGAGAATGTGTTATTTGCTTTCATTTTCTGGAGAGACTTTGGGGGAGAAGTTAACACTAATATAAATGCAGGGCTGAGAGTTCCAGAAACTCAGGCTGGAGAGCATCTGCAACTTCCACCTTAATTGGAGAGGCTTGTTTTAATCTCAGAAGGGAATTTGGTCTCCATGGCTTCCACAGGTCATGGCTTATTTGCCGAGCTCCTTGGCAAGACAGTGGTTCCTGAGTCACAGATACGCAGCATTGGCCAGTAGGCAGGGACCCTGCTAGTCAAGTACTAGGTGCTAGTGATTTTCTTTCACCACTGACCTCAGCTGGATTTAAACCAGTGACCTAGAGGTGAAAGATTTCATGTAACAAGAAATGGAGCACTGACAATTACAGTTCAGTTTATTCTCATTCTGAGCTGCATTATGAGCTTTGTGGCATTCACTGAGACATCTTTTTGAGTGCCCATGCAGAGTTCATTCACTACCTGATAAACACCAATTTTTGCCCTCTTTGCTGGAGCTGCTTTTTCCTGGTGATCTATATCCCATCACCCTTCCTACAGATACCTTCTGCTCCCACCTTCTCAGTTATGAAGGGCAAGGGCTTTGGGCAAGCCTTCCACGAGTTCAAAGCATTCAGTTCTATGCCAGAAAGGTATTTTTTAGATACACAACAAATTTAAATCTACATAATTTGTAAATCGAGCTCTGTTAGCTACAAAGACTGCCTTGTGATCATGCTGACAGATCAGATCATAAATGATAATGCAGTTGCTAACACACAGGAGATCCTAGCTCGTTCATTGAGTACCATAGTTACGCAGTGAATATCCAGGTTTGGGGAGAAGATGACAGAGCAAAACAAGGACAATTCTCTGGGAACTGGACCATTAAAGCAGTAGAATCAGGACCACAAGAAGGCAAATGAAGCCACTCTGCTGCACCCAGAGCTCAGATCAGGCCTTCAGGTTCTGACAGCTGGGATTGTGGGTATGCAAAGGCACAGAGAAGTTGCAGTTGAGTTCTGAACATGTTTTGCTCTTTTGCAGGATCATCAGAACCAAAGTTCAGCAACCTTTTCACCCAACACCGGACGGGAGCGGGACAGGTGTGACTGCACCAGGACATACTATTGGTAAGAAGACTGGCATGAGGGGTGGTGACAGGACAAGTGGAAATGAGGATGAAGCTTAGTTGAGGGAACAAAGTCTGACAAGCAGATGCTAAGCAGAGCAAAAGGGAGGAGGGGGTGGGGGAAAGAAACCTCAATGGAAATCAGACGTTTCTGTTCTTTGTTTCCCTCGTTGCATTGCAGAGAAGGGAATCATGGCAGAGAAACCAGCCCAAGGCAGGGGTTTGCCCAAAGCGATTCTGCCTTAACATCCATTTCACGTTCATGCTCTCTCCTTTGCCTCCCTAGAGAGAACTATTTACTGCTATCCTGTCTAAGCACCAGTCTTCACTTTTGTCTCCTTCTTACTCTGACTCTCTTTTCCCCCCTCTCTCCCAATTTCTCTCCTCTCCCTTTGCTGGAACTGGCCCATTTCTTAGAGCTAGTAATACACAGACACAGCTAAGATATTCCTGATGCCTCACAACTGAGTTCTTCATTGTTTTAGCTCAGCAGTCAGGTATCCCATGGGTGTATTTCACTGAGAAAATGCATTTTCTGCTGGGGGAGATGGGTTTATCAAGGTGAGCAGAAGATGGAGGCTGTAATAAAGTGACCAAATGTCTCCTAGTCTGTTGTGTTTAAAGGTACTGTGCTAGATGTGTGATGAGGTACTTTTCACTCTGTGGGCTGTATGGTGCATACGTCTGCTGTTGCTAGCATAGCTTTATCCAGTAACAATTCAGAGCAGGAAAAATCATGCGGTATTCTACAATACTGTGAAATACAGTGGCTTATTCATAGCCTAAGACACTGTCTTAGATACTGTGGGTTACTGAGAATCAGCTGCTATACAAGTATTTACTGGAAAGTGCTGGTCTGCATGGGACAGAGCTGGCAGATATAATCCTGTACACGAATTGTTTTCAAGAGCACAATGAAATTAATGGGCCAGTATGGAAGAGCATTTCTGGATGCCCTTTTAATCTGGACTTGCTCACTGGACTGGGAATCACTGACCACAACAGATGGAGTTGGCAGATATTATTCCTTCTTGGAAAAGTAGTGCAATGTCTAGGGAATGCATTGGCTGAGCTGGGATAGTGATTATGAGTGCTGCTACTGGAGTCTCTCATTGCTCTGGGATGTACTGGGAAGCGTGGGTCTACATCGGACAGTGTTGACAGGTTCTGCTCCATCCTGGAAGGCTTGTATTGGAGGTATTGATTGCTTCAGGTCAATGCTTTATAGAATCATAGAATGGTTTGGGTTGGAAGGGACCTTAAAGATCATCTGGTTCCAACCCCCCTGCCATGGGCAGAGACACCTTCCACTAGGCCAGGTTGCTCAAATTTATGAGCTGAATGATGGGTAGTGGCCTGTAATAGAACTGGGATATTCTCCCAGTTACTGGGGCACACCGGGACATAATGGGCATGCCTACTGGATGCATAGCTCTACTTCTTCTATACTCTAAAGCCCTGATTATCGTGAAGTGATCATTTCTAATCTGGATGACTTGTCATTTCTGATATATTGGAAACTCATGAGCAATCTTGGACAGCCCTGAGTGGCAGGAGGAGTCTGCCAGTTGACACTGGTCAGTGCAAAAGGAAGATACTAGGTTTTTATTCATCTGGGTTGGAGTATGTATCACCAACTCACCTTTTTTTCTAGTAGGGAACTGAATTTATTGGCCCAACACTGAAGTGCTTCTAACCTATGCTAAGAAGGTAATTTTTCAGTGAGTGTTTTGGGTGGACACGTAAGAGGCTGGTCTGGCTAAGACAGAACATGCACACTCCTGGTGGAAAAAAGCTGAGCGGAAATGATCTGGCAAAATATGCATAGACTAGGAAGTCACTAGAGAATGTGGCCTATGCAGCATTGCACTCAGTTACCAAGCCTTGCGCTGGGAAGCCTGCTCTGAACTGGGATATAACAACGAGGTTCAGCTTCTTGATGGAATACACTTGCTTGTTATTAATGACCCTGTACTGGAAGGCTGTGAAGCTACGGGATAGGAACGGACTGGCAAAGCTGGGATGCAGCAACATTATCAGTAGGGCGAGTATGAGTCCTTCAGTGTGAGGGACTGGGAGTCTGCTTAGTGCCCACGCTTTCCTATGAGACTGGTGGCATGCGTAGCTTTCAGCTGGGGGATCCCTGAGTGCTGTGCTGCTCTCCTCATGGCCCTTTTTCCCTTTTCCTTTTGTCCAGTGCCCAGCACAGCATCCCCTCCCGTCTCCAGTGCCTCCAATGATCCAGTGGGCTCTTACTCCATTAACGGGATCCTGGGGATTCCTCGGTCGAATGGCGAGAAGAGGAAACGTGATGAAGGTAGGGGGAGGGGAGAAGCTCATCCTCCCTTTTATATTCTTTGTCCCCATGTACAGGCTCCAATTTCAGGCCAAGGTTTGCAGCTGCTCCAGGGGCTAGATCAGTTTTAGCAACAGAGACCAGTTCCCCGCCACTGCCCTGCTGGCTTGGAATGCTCTTCTTCCGAGGCCCTTTCATGACAGGCTGCGTCTCCAGACATCTGCTCGGCAGGCAGAGAGCCGTCTCCATTGCTGGAGCTGATCCCAAGTTCATTCACTGCTGGAAACGGCTGGAACTGAACTCCCCAGGTGCCAGCAGGTGCCCGGACTTTGAACTGCGGGTAAACATGGTTTCCCCGACTCACTCATTTTCAAACAAAGTGCCATCTCGGAGAAGCACCAGCAATGTGGGAGTTATCTTTCATTCCCCTTGCAAACAAGCTCCTGCCCTCTGACGTGCCATGAGCTACATTAGCTGGTGATCATAAGGGCCCAGTTTTCAATGGGTAGCATCTACCACAGCAGAACTGCCATGCTTGCAACAGCCTGAAAGCAGAACAGGAGGTCTTCTGAGTACTGTGACCCTAAGGTTGTTATCTAAGCCTTTCGCTAGGGCTCTAAGGAATTAGGATTAAGCTATCTCCTTTTCCTTCCTACCTGCTGGAAAGGACTCAGGGCAAAGTGAATCCTGACATGAGCCAAAAGCTGGAGCCTCAGGTGTAGATAGACTTGAGTCAGGAGGGGTGGGTAAGGTCTTGGTGCTCTTATGGTGGCTTTGTAAACTTTTGTTCTTAGATCTTGCTCTTTTAATTTGACGCATTCAAAAATTGAGGGCCAGGAGGTGAACTTTTCTAAGAGTAGTGCCTGACCAGTTTGTTCAGTTCAGCCCTACCTTCAGTACGTTGTTTTCCACTGTTGCCTGTTGCATGGGGGGACCTCTTAGCAGTACAGGTGGCTCAGTGTGCTGCATGTGCTGTAACCCCACGGCTGTGCGGTGCAAGAGAACGTGAGGGTTCGCTGTGATATGTGGTGAGAAGATACAGCTCTCCTGAGAGACATGCTGCATTTTTGGGTTTTGCTAGTAATTTTCTCAGCATTGGTTCTGGTGAGGTTCACATCTGTAAGTTTTTGATCCAAATAAACACAATAATCCCAAGAATAAAAGGCAGTCATTGTGACCCCTTTCTCCCTAATACAAAGTAAAACTAGAGGCAAGGACCCAATCCAGCTCCTATTAAAGCGAATGGGGAGATTTTTGCTGATGTCATTGGAAATTGGATCAGGCCCCAGAGGAAGATCCATTTCCCAGCTAGATGGCAGTAGGGCCCAGCTAAGAGAAAAGTGTAGCTATGGAAGGGCTGAGTCAAGGACTCAAAGTCAAAAAATGTCAGGAATAAGAGACTGCAAACATTGCAAACCCCTCCAGCATTTCCCATCATTACATATACAGGAAATAGTGACATTTAAAACTGAGTGACAAGTTTCTCTAATGGTTGTGCAAACCTCCTGGCAGTTATTTGGGGGTTTTGTGAACCCCTGTTCTCATACAGTCCAGCATGGTGATCACCAGCTCTCAATACGGTGCCACCATATCTCATTTTGAAATGAAGTAGTTCAATCTGGCTTTAGCACCTATTCTTTCCAAATACCTGGAAAGATCGTCCCACTTTAGATGCAGCCACACAGTCACTTCCAGCTTCAGAACCTGAGCTTTTTTGAAGCAGTACAATTAAACACAGAAACAACCAAGCAGCCATCTAAGACTGTGACACTTCACAATGATATACGGACAGTAAGAACAACTCTCTGTGTCTGTCCTTAATTCATCCCAGATTTGATTTATGAAGGGCATGCAACACTCCGCAACTCCCTGCTGTTGGCCAAGAGCCCACATATCCCACTAGGAATCAAAAAGGTACCAGCCAATCCCGGAGACGTTGCTTGTCTTTAGCTCTCAGAGTTTTAGGAGGCAGTTACATGACACAGCTGCAACTGCCTTAGAGAACAGCCTTCATCCTGCCATCCCAGATATCTGCTGCAGGGAGATGTTGCTCTCCTGTCCCAGAAAAACCTTGCATGGGACCCCCTGCCAGCTGTTAAACACCTCTAGCCAAGAGATTAGTTATCTGGGCTCACACTGGCTTTAAGAAATGCTGAAAGACATCATCACTTTGCAGGGTTGGGTCCTAAGGCTGGATAGGTCCAAGGGAAGATTTTGCACAGCCAGTGACCTGCGCTCACTCCTGGGCAATCTTCCCTGTAGGTCTGAGGGCTCTGAGTGTTCCTAGCTGAGATGGGGATTAGGAAAGCCTGGTAAGAAATCCAGTGCAGGTATTTCTTTCATGCTCAGGCTGGATGCATACACCTTCTCAGTATTTCCCAGAGCTTCTGAGCACTGTTTTGTTCCAGTTTCTTAACTGCAGGGTTTATTCTTGCATTGAAAAGCCCTTATGAGCTGCCAATGCACATCTACTTTCCCAGCATTTTGGGGGTGGCTCTTCCCTAAAGGAGGCAGAAGAAGCAGCACTGCTCTCTCTTTCTTTCCGCTCTGTTGGACCAGCTCTGCTGCAAGGATTCCTCTGTGAGGAATGCAGTTCAGCAAAAAGGGGGGAAGTACCAAGCTGCTCCTGAATCCTCAGTTCTGAAAACCTTGTTAACAACCTCTGTGATGGCTGGGGGGAACAGGGTGGGAGAAAGACAGAGGAGCCTCTATCTGAGCAGACCCCCTCCCCCAGGTCCTCCTTGCTGCAGCTGGTGCCTACATTAGACAGTAGCACAGATGATTAAGAAGAGGAGAGATAATTATGTGTCAAGATGATGTAGCAGAACTCCCGAGTTGGACAGAAGGAGCCAAACGGATGCATGAGGTGGGCTCAGCGATGGACGCTGACAGCCAGGTGTGTCCCTCACAGGGAGTTAGAGGGAACAGGAGAAATCCCAACCTACCAAATGTGCTGGTTGCAACTGCAAGGGTGGTCTAGGAAGACTATGGCATTGAGAGAGAGCCAGCAGGGAGGTAGCTTTGAGTGTCTGCTAGTCACAACAAGGAACTGTCAGGTCACAAGTCTTTCCTCAAAACTCAGTGTGTCTTCCTCAGGTGAGTGCCTAGGAAGGATGGTTAGGATTTGCCCTGTTAAGACCATGTATTCCTTTTGTTTCAGTTTTTGATCAGTGATTGTAAACCTTCTGACTTCCATGACAGATTAGACAAAGCAGAGAGCTGGTCTCCTACAATTATTTAAATAATTTCACTAAAAAAGTTCACCACCACCTGTGTAGCACAGTGTGTGCCATTTCTTGCAGTCTATGGGCACAGCCAATGTTGCTGTAATTTCCCTCTGACCTCCCCCACCACTTATACCCACCATCTTCCAGAGGCAGAAGTGACCCTGCAGCATGTAATGACTTTCCCAAGACCATTGAGGGTCTTGCAGTATCAAGCTGCAGCTGGAAACAGGAATTTCTGGCTCTTCATGATCCTAATGTTGTCCTATGCGGTGATGGCAGGCCAAGCTCAGCAGGGTCATTGTCAGATGAAGGAGCAGCAAGAAGATGTCCAGAAGGATAAAGGGGAAAATAATATGCAAATATTTCTGTTGTTCCATAACCCCCGATTGATAGCTAAAAGGATGACAATTGGGGTGACCCAGAAGAACTAACAAAAAATTAGTATCACTCATACGGTAGTCTTGAGCAACGTCTAAGGAAAAAAAGGAGAGATGGGGAGAAAGGGAAAGGTGGATAGATAGACAGATAATTAGATAATATTAAAACAATAATTCAAACTATTCCCTGCATACCACAGCATCTCCAGCTGGGTGAAACTTTTGGGATCTTTAGAAAACCACTCGTATTAGAGATAGCTCTTTCTCTCCATAGCTGGCCACAAACAGACTTCCTCTATAGACCCAAATTCTCATTTGGGATTCGTCTTCCAGTGAGGCTGGTGCTGTAACATTCTCAGCATTATTAATCTTGGTCCCTGACAATATCTGTAGTATTTGACAGCATTACTGGCAATAATATCTGCAGTGCTGACAATGGCAGAGATAATATCCCCCAGTATTACCGGCATTAGCAGGGATCATATCTGCAGCCTGTTATTGGCAGGAGCAGACGTAATGTGTCCAGTATTATTAGTATCAGTAGTAATAAAACCCACAGGCTTGTTAGTATGATCAGTGCTAATATCAGCAGTAGGTTTGTGGGAGAGGAGGGGACGGAGTGATTGCTACTGTAAATGGCAATAATACTCAGGCTGTATGCAGTAAAGGAATCCCCAGCAGAGATGGGGGAGCAAACCTCCCGAAGTTCCTCCTTTCCTTTTTTCACTTGTCATTTTGATGATTAGAGTGATTTACATTGAAGTAAGTGATGCAGGGCTGTGTCAGTTCAGGGGGACAGTAAATGGTCACCAACATTTCAGCAGGTCTGGTGGTGTTTTCCGGAGTGTTAGCTGTATCCGTGCAGGTGGTTCACCGTACTCTTCAAAATGGGGTTGAGCTCTGTGGAACAGGATGCTGCCTACTGGCCGCAGGAGCACTTGCACTGTAAGTCCTGTAGCTGCAGGAAGGGCAGCGTCGCAGCACGTCTCTTTGGTGCTGCATGCGTAATTTTCTGACTGTTATTACCACGACACCCTCTACTGAGAAGCATTGCTTTTGTTACAGGTGGTTTTCTCTCCCCTCACTCCAAATGGAAGGACTCTGACTGCAGGGCAGGCTTTTGATAGTGTTCACCTTGGGGATTTTCCTAGCTGGTCATGATCTCATTTTCCTACTGGGAAAGTGGAAATGCCTCCTTCAGGTGGAGTGTGAGGCAGGGAGATCTGCAACAGTCCTAGTCCTGAAAGTTGTTCTTTTAGGTACTGGCCCAGGACATAGGCTGTCTTGAAGAAAATTTGGAGCTCAATTGTTTAAGTGGAAAGTAGCGCAGAGAGGAGAGATGTGTAACGTGTTTAAGAAGGTCTGAGTTTTTGACCAGATATACAGCAGCTGAGTGTGCCACTGCAAGTATGATCCC